GGGGAGGCGCGCGGTCGTCGCCCGGCTCTCGGGATCCAGGCCTCGCACTGCAGCTGAGCGGCCCGTGCCGGCGGGAGAGTGGAATCAGCAGATGGAGGCTGTTTCGGGCTCCGTCCCTTCGTGCGCTCGTTCTGCAGTAATCAAAATACATAGGTTTAGTTCAGTTTTAATTTATTTATTCACTTATTGCAGTATGGAACTCGGGGCCTCATGCGTGGTAGGCAAGGGCTCTACCACTGAGCTACATACACATTCAGCCAGGCAAAAAAGATGGACCGCCTAGGGGTGTGGTTACTAGTATTGAGCAGTGAATGAAACTGCAATAAATGAATAAATTAATTAAAATTAAATGAAACAAGGGGGTAAAAGGAGGGCAGGGGTACGCGGAAAAAATGAGAACCAGGGTCTGTCATGTAAAGGTCAAGATCCCAATGATGAAGGTAACTGTATTGTATACTTAAAAAGTACCAATAGGGGCTGGGGATTTAGCTCAGTGCTTCTGCTGCCTGCCTTGCAAGGACCCAAGTTTGATCCCCGGTACCACACACACACACACAAAAACGTACCAATAAACTCAATTAAAAATTAAGTTAAATGAAACATATATTTTCGAACATGTTCGGGCTGCTTTCTCCAAATTAGTCTTTCCCTGCTTCCTGGAATGTATTTTCTCCTTCCTTCTGTCGCCCTGCCTCAACTGTCACCCCTCATAAGCTATGGAAGTCTGGCTCATGCCACCTCCCAAACCCCAGTTCTGAAACCCTCTTCCCTTTTCATTCATCCCCTGTGACTTCAGCTTTGCCAGACTAATTTAGTTACACCCTATATTTAGTGAACACCTACTATCTGCCAGGTCTTGGGTTAGGTAATGAAACCATCGGGTACAAAATTGGCATGGTCCTTGCCTTCCTGGACCTTGGCATCTAGTGCGACGGGCCATTTGTGCACCAATTATTTCATGACAAGAAAGAGGAAGCACAAGGTTTGGCAGCGGTGCAGAGAACGGAGTAAATAACTCTGAGGGATCAGGAAAGCTTTTACGGGGGAGATTGTGCTTGAACTAGATTTCAAGGGATGAATGAAAGTTTGCCAAGCAGCAAGTGAAAGGGCACTGAAGATTGAGGGGCCAGCATGTGCTAAAGCCTGACGGATAGCCATTGTAGGATGATGTGGCAGATACAGCGAATCTGACCTCGCCTGACCGTGAAGCAAGAGAACAGGAAGTGACGGGAGATGGGCATCGTGGGAGACCTCTTGTGTTTGGTCCTGTAGGTAGGTGGGAGCTAAAAGGTTATTAAACTGAGGAGAGACATAGACCTATCGAATCAT